TACAGGATTCTTTGTGTTACTAATTTTAATGATGCATATAAATTTCATACAGATCGGTTGATAACTTTTGTCTTTAGAGCGTTCACAACATGCAACAAAGTGAAACAAGGGCCATAACTCCAGAAGAAATTAACAGAAGTTATTGAAATTAAATAGGCTTCTTCATCTCACTAATGCAAACAACATATATCCATTTCAAAACAATCAGATGATAAATGTAGTCTGCAGAGTGTTCACAAGAAATTATGGACGACGGACGGACCGACAGACGGATGGACAGGGGCGACGGCAATATACGACCACATGAAAATGTGGACGTATAAAAAGGCGTATCTTCCTTCAGCGTATGGCGTACGTGACTCATAGCACATAGCTTTATCGTAAGATTACCAAATTTTCTGAAAGATTCTTTTTTATTTAAAGATACTTTCCCACGCATAAACTGTGTGATTTGATGAAATATTTCGACTAAGAAGTAAAAACATATTCAAATTAATTAATCTATCAAATCCCTCTCAAAACTTTGTATTCACGGTGAGATTCCTATAGCTGTCACCTTCATTGTGGGAGGGTCCATTTTTATATGCCCACATTTTCATGTGGACGTATATTGTTGTCGCCCCTGTCCGTCAAGACGTCTGTCCACAATTGGACAGGTCACGATTCTTATCCGATTTCAACGAAACTTGAAATATAGGTTTATCTCCCTATACTCCCTGAGATCTCGGTTCCTTTCTATATTGGTATGTAGTATTGGACCGTAACTTCATGGATTATGGCCCCTGATTGTATGAAATTTACGTTTTTAGCTTGTGGACCCTACAGAGGTCACAATTTTTATACGCCCACATTTTCATGTGGACGTATAATGTCGTCGCCCCTGTCCGTCCGTCCACAATTGTTTGTGAACAGTCTACAGGTCACAATTTTTATCCGATTTCAATGAAACTTGAAATATAGGTTTATCACCCTAAGATCTTGGTTCCTTTCGATATTGGCATCTATCGGACCGTAACTTCATGGATTATGGCCCCTGATTGCACGAAAAATCACGTTTTTGGCTTGTGAACACTGTAGAGGTCACAATTCTTATCTGATTTTGTTGAAACTTAAAATGTAAGTTTATAACCCAAAGATCTCGGTTCCTTTTGATATTCGCGCATATCGGACCGTAACTTCCTGAATTATGGCCCCTGATTGTACTTAAAAACGCGTTTTTTGGCTTGTGGACCCTATAGAGGTCATAATTTTTATCCGATTTAAAAAAACGTATTATTATATCACTGTTAAACCCTAAGGACGGTCGAGTTCGAATTTCGTGAAAATCGGCCAAAAACTGACAGACAAAATGGCCGCTGTTCGTTCTCAAATAGCGTAAAAATATGGTATATCAAGGTTGTGGACCCTATAGAGGTCACAATTTTTATCCGATTTTGTTGAAACTTGAAATGTAAATATCCGATTTAAAAAAACGTGTTAATATATCACCGTTGCACCCTAAGGACGGCTGAGTTCTAATTTTGTGAAAATTGGCCCAAAACTGACAGACAAAATGGCCGCCCTTCGTTCTCAAATAGCGTAAAAATATGGTATATCAAGGTTGTGGACCCTATAGAGGTCACAATTTTTATCCGATTTTGTTGAAACTTGAAATGTTAGTTTATAACACAAAGATCTTGGTTCTCTTCGATATTTACGCACATCGGACCGTAACTTCATGAATTATGGCCCTTTATTGGATGACAAATCGCGTTTTTAGCTTGTGGACCATATAGAGGTTATAATTTTTATCCGATTTAAAAAAATGTTTTATTATATCACCATTAAACCCTAATGACAGTTGAGTTCGAATTTCGTGAAAATCGGCCCAAAACTGACAGACAAAATGGCGACCGTTCGTTCTCAAATAGCGTAAAAATATGGTATATCAAGGTTGTGGACCCTATAGAGGTCACAATTTTTATCCGATTTTGTTGAAACTTGAAATGTAAGTTTATAACCTAAAGATCTCGGTTCCTTTCGATATTCGCTCATATCGGACCGTAACTTCCTGAATTATGGCCCCTTATTGTATGACAAATCGTGTTTTTAGCTTGTGGACCATATAGAGGTCATAATTTTTATCCGATTTAAAAAAACGTTTTATTATATCACCATTAAACCCTAATGACAGTTGAGTTCGAATTTCGTGAAAATCGGCCCAAAACTGACAGACAAAATGGCCGCCGTTCGTTCTCAAATAGCGTAAAAATATGGTATATCAAGGTTGTGGACCCTATAGAGGTCACAATTTTTATCCGATTTTGTTGAAACTTGAAATGTAAGTTTATAACCTAAAGATCTCGGTTCCTTTCGATATTCGCGCATATCGGACCGTAACTTCCTGAATTATAGCCACTGATTGTACGAAAAATCACGTTTTTAGCTTGTGGACCCTATAGAGGTCATAATTTTTATCCGATTTAAAAAAACATATTATTATATCACCGTTACACCCTAAGGACGACTGAGTTCGAATTTCGTGAAAATCGGCCCAAAACTGACAGACAAAATGGCCGCCGTTCGTTCTCAAATAGCATAAAAATATGGTATATCAAGGTTGTGGACCCTATAGAGGTCACAGTTTTTATCCGATTTTGTTGAAACTTGAAATTTAAGTTTATAACACAAAGATCTCGGTTCCTTTCGATATTTGCGCATATTGAATTGTAATTTCCTGAATTATGGCCCTTGATTGTAGGAAAAATCACTTTCTTTTTAGCTTGTTCTCTATCCATCTCTCGAAAATGTGGGCGTATCCTGCCTGGCAGCCGGTGCCGCCATGCGCTGACATCACACAAAATCAATCCGCAGTGCCAAAGATATTTTTAGTTTTTCTCTCCCTTTCCATTTTCCCCCTTTTGCATGGCGATTTTTGTTGACTTTTGGGTGTAGAATCGAAGAAGAGGGTTTGCATATACATTTTCTGCCAGGTTTGGGTGAATATTCATCATTATGAGGCGGAAGTATACAAGACTTCAGAGGTTGATTAGGTTTTTGTGTGACGTCAGCACATGGCGGCAGTGACAAAATGGAAATGGACGAAAGTAATGTAAATATTGGAAACAAGTGGCTATGATATCGTTTTGTGGGAGTATTTATGCAAATCAAAACGACTAGATTGAAGAAAAAACATCGACAGAGGTTTGATTGCCTGACATTACGAATTGTTGAAAAAAAAACGAGCCGAAGCGAGAGCAGATAAAATCCAGTCTTCAACAGCCATTGCATTCCTGTTCTTTTTTTATTATATACTGAGCGCCATGGAAAACGTATCACTTAGTTGTTCGTATAACAAAATGATCCTGTAAACATATCTTATTTATTTTGCTTCTTATTGTGAACAATATTCAAATGGAAACACATCAATAACAACACATTTGTACACTTATGGATGTTTAATCTGTAATCAACGGTACAAAGTCAGAGGGGTCAAAACCAAAAGTACGACACAGATGTCAGTAGCGCGTGTGTCCTCCACGGGCTTTACGCATGCAGTGTAGCGACGTCGCATGGAATTTACCTATGTTTGAAAGAAGGCCTGGGGCAAATTGTTCCATTCTTGGACAAGAGCAGCTTCTAAAACAGCAATGGTGTGCATCTGTAGTCTCCTATACAGACGGCGTCCAATCTCATCCCAGACATGTTCTATCAGTGCCATGTCCGGAGACATGGCTGGCCAGTCCAAGACATTGATGTTGTTAGCAGCCAGGTAGTCCATACTAAAACGGGCGGTATGTGTACATACATCGGAACAACAATTGGTTGCAAGACATCATCACGGAAGGCTACAGCATTAACGCGACCCCTGCAAATGTGTAGGGCTGTCCGGTGATGAAATTTAAAGCCTCCCCACACAATTACACTTCCCCCACCCCATCGATTCGTTTCGAAGACGCAGCAGTCTGCAAGACGTTCCCTAAGACGTCTCCACACACGTTGACGGCCATCAGCGTGATAAAGATGAAAGCGACTCTCATCACTGAAGAGCACACTTTGCCAGTCTACTCTTCTCCATGTCTGGTGTCCTTGAGCCCATATCAAACGCTGCTGACAGTGATGATCCCTGAGGATAGCTCCAACATAAGGTCGTCGTGCACGGAGTCCGACTGCTGCACCTGTTCGAGTCGCTGGGCGGAATCTGTCACGCAGATGAGTGACCCGGATGTAGCGGTCTTGAGCCTGGGTTGTAACACGTTGTGGACCAGGACGTTGACGGTCACGTGTTGATCCAGTAACTTGAACACGTTCCACCAACCTTACAATAGTGGACTGATGACAATTGAAGTGTCTGGCAATAGCACGTGTAGACATGCCAGCCCTGGACATTCCCATGGCTTCATTCCGTTTATTTTCCATAAGTCTCGGCATCTCTAGCTCGATTCCTTCACACGTCCAACAACAAATTACGACAGATTGACGTTTCACAGTTCATGTACTGCACATTAAGTTGAAAACATGCTTTTAAAGGGCTCACACACAATGCTGCATGTGAATATTGGGTTTTTCATGTGAATCTCGTGCAATTTTTTTTTGTGCGCACGGGCCGATTTTTTTTGCGTTTGGGAGCATTGTGTGAAACAATAGTTCATAGTATTGCATAATATTATACATACAAAACCACCTAGAAATAAAATATTTGGGAAAAAAAAGTGATGCGTTTTCCATGGCGCTCAGTATATATTGTCTGGTTGGACATGGTGTATGCATATATATACGGATAGAAGGTCAGACTCCTGTGGTTGATGATACCCTGACATGTCCACTGCTTGCTTGGGTGTTTGTCGGGTGGGTAATCCAGTATTTTTCTAGTAAGGTTGGGTGTCTATACTTTCTATATATATCAAATTTGTCATATTTTATTGGAAATAACTACCCGATAAATACTTTGGGACAATATATCTTTAAATCAGTTTTCAATTGAGTTTAGTATACATTTCAACCTATGTTCTTTCTTTCAGCTTGTTCATGATTTGATAATTGAACCTATAATTAACCATGTTGGTAAAAATGTTACCAATAACATATCTGTAATGCTGGCACTGTTTGTTATGAAGTTAACCAATAAATATGAAATAATTCTATCAGGACTTCAGAGGAGTGTGATTTACCAAAGCCTTTTGGTTACTGTTGACAGAGAAGAAAAGAAATGTCATACTATAGATTTCATCATAAAATACTTTGATAAAAAGTAAGGCTTTATTTCTGACTCATGTATGTAACCATCAGGATGAATCCCTTGGAATCACCCATATTTAAATTCATGAAATCTTTTTAAAATTCACGGTGGCTAAGTGGGTAAGATGCTGCCTCGCTAGTCTGGAGGTAGGGTTTTCAATCCCTGCATTGGCCGAGAAAGTTCAGCCAGATTTTCTTGCGTGCACGTAAAAGATCCCTTGACATTTGGAATTCGATATAAGAGTAGGCCGTAGTACCGCTGTCTGGGCAAAATTTTCCTCATTAGCCCAGTTGGAGCAAATCAGTAGGACGTTTAACCCCATTTCATTTGATTTCATATATGTCACCCGTGCTGATAAAATCAGTTGCAATGATTAAATTGAGTTATTTTTATATGCCCACATTTTCATGTAGACGTATATTGTCGTCACCCCTGTCTGTCCGGACGTCCGTCCGTCCACAATTTGTTTGTGGACACTGTACAGGTCACAATTCTTATCCGATTTTGACGAAACTTGAAATATAAGTTTATCTCCAAAAGATCTTGGCTTCTTTCGATATTGGCATGTATCCGATCGAAACTTCATGGATTATGGCCCCTGTTTGTACGAAAAATCACGTTTTTAGCTTGTGGACACTATAGAGGTCACAATTTTTATCTGATTTTGTTGAAATTTGAAATGTAAGTTTATAACCCAAAGATATCGGTTCCTTTCGATATTCGCGCATATCGGACCATAACTTCCTTTTTAGCTTGTGGACACTATAGAGGTAATAATTTTTATCCGATTTAAAAAAATGTATTATTATATCACTGTTACACCCTAAGGACGGCTGAGTTTGAATTTCGTGAAAATCGGCCAAAAATTGACAGACAAAATGGCCGCCGTTCGTTTTCAAATAGCGTAAAAATATGGTATATCAAGGTTGTGGACCCAATAGAGGTCACAATTTTTATGCGATTTTGTGGAAACTTGAAATATAAGTTTATAACCCACAGATCTTGGTTCCTTTCGATATTCACGCTCATCAGACTGTAACGTCCTGAATTATGGCCCCTGATTGTACGAAAAATCACGTTTTTAGCTTGTGGACCCAATAGAGGTCATAATTTTTATCCAATTTAAAAAGACGTATTATTATATCACTGTTACACCCTAAGGACGGTTGAGTTCGAATTTCGTGAAAATTGGCCCAAAACTGACAGACAAAACGGCCGCTGATCGTTCTCTAATAGCGTAAAAATATGGTATATCAAGGTTGTGGACCCTATAGAGGTCACAATTTTTATCCGATTTTGATGGAACTTGACATGTAAGTTTATAATCCAAAGATCTCGGTTCCCTTCGATATTCGTGCATATCGAATTGTAACTGCCTGAATTATGGCCTATGATTGTACGACAAATCATGTTTTTAGCTTGTGGAATCTATAGCGGTCATAATTTATATCTGATTTAAAAAAAACGTTTGAATACATCACCGTTACACCATTATGATGTCTGAGTTCGAATTTCGTGGAAATCGGACACAATTTTGATCCTATTTTGATGAAACTTGAAATACATGTTTATAACCCAAAGATTTGGTTACTTTCAATATTCATGCATATCGGATCGTAACTTCCTGCACATGCTCCATCTCAATACCTTAAAAGTGATGTATGGTTTGTTTGAATTGGACAGAAAATAGCTGAGCTAGCTAATCAACTGGTTTTTTTTGTCGGCTTTAGCCACTTGAAGATCAATCAATCCAATTGGTAAAATAATAAACTAGCCACTATGGTATCATAAATCAATCTACTTTCGGCTAAATTACTACGGGTTAAGAGTGTATCCGCGAGAAGACCATGCAAAAAGTGCTAAAATGGGGGGTCAGAAGTTTTTGATCAAACTTATGGTATGACACCCCCTAGGGGCAAGAGGTAACATGCTGAAGTGGTTACAGTCTGATGTCGCTCTATAGGACTGTACAGGAATTATTCATTTTATGGGTAAAATTGCGGTTTTCACATGTTATTTATCACCTTTTTTAAGCACAGACTGCATTCTATGGTGGAATAGCAACCTTCTAATTTTGACCCTGTCTGATAAAGCGGATGGTTTTGAAGTGCTAAGCACATAGTATCCATAGGTGTAAAAAAAAATGACTGGAATGCAACATACTTAAAATATACAGCTTATTGAAAAGTGCTAAAAATAAGCTTTTGTGATACATTTTTTTGCAAATTTAATTAGAGAAATAAAATTTTTGACTTTTATACGTATTCATCATATCCATAGGCATTATTTGTACCATGTTGTATTCTATATAAGTGTGTATTTGTATTTATTGTATATTTGGTATTCTCCCTTTAACATATTTGTTGTATTGTCTCTTTAAGATTTCATTTTCAAACAAGTTACCGAAAATGGCTACAAAATGTTTAATTTCAGAGCATGTTTCCACTATTCATTTTGGGACACATCCACTGATTTCTACAATACAGAAATGTGGAAGCTTAAATATTAACGGCAACAAAGCCTAATTGCGTCGAAGTGGGTGACATTGAACAGTGTAGTATGGTAGCTACAGCTCTCGGGCACCGTCAGCTGCACCTTCAGGGCCGGATTTAGAATAAGAGGGGCCCACGACATGGGCCCTGGGACAAGCAACTCGGTGAGAGGGTGGGTCGGGGGAAGTCATGCGGTTGGTGGTTCGAATCTCACTTTTAGGTGAATTTTTCATTTTCGTTGGATTTTTTTATTTAAAATAATGTCTATTTGAGAGTAATCGATATGTTTGTTAAGATTGAGCACGTCGAAACTCCAATGGAAGGTCGTGGACAACTGCAGAAGTCAATTCCCGTTGACGCCAGATGAGCCATGAACGATTACAGGCCTTTGAAAGTATTTTTTTTTTCAAGATATTTTTATAAAACAGATACTAATGTATTTTAGGGCTGGTAGTAAACACCATATGAATGAAAAGGAAAAATAAATTGTTAGGTTTTTTTTATCTACTACGGTTAATTATCTCCAAAATAGGGAAATTACAGGTTAATTTCATGGGTTATTGTTTCCTTTACCTAGTTTTTGTCAAGTCGATTCCGGTCATTTTTATTTTTTGTATCAAATGTTGGGGGGTTGCTTGTTCACGTGAGCATAATTTTTTTAAACCCACCCCATGAAAGAAGTAGCTATAGGGCGTCAAACTTTGGGTGACGAAAAATGGGGAATTTAGACAGGCTTTGATATCCAGTCCGTATACAGATCTCGTTCGCCAGAATCGTCTGAAGTTAATATTGTGGTAACAGCACTGAGTCATCGATAAACTGTGTGAGTTTGGTCTTTCTGCTACGTATAGTAAAGGTGTAAGGACTTGCCAAAGTTGGTATTTGATAAAAGACAGATTTTGGCAATTTCACCATATGAAAAATGTTTTTTCAATTTTCTCATACAGGAATTGAAAGATTTATCTAATATTGCACATTTATGTGTTTTGGGACTATCCCAACTTATAAACCAAATTTGGTCAAAATCTGTGATTGAAGCCTTAGCACCTTCTGCATGGTTTTCTCGCGGACACGCTCTTAATTATTACTTGTTATGTAAGAAGTCAATCAACTTGCTTGTCGGCTACAACAACAGTCATACCTTAGTGAGAATCGGCCATGAGAATCTGAGTAGCCTAATTAGCACATTTTGATTATCCGGTAACAAAACAAAACAAGCTTGCTGATTATTCATAACAGGTTCAGTAAGCTGCTTTTGTAAAAATAACCCATGTGCGAAAGAAGACGATCTCGGCATGGTTTGCCAATCGAGCGTTTTCCACGCTCTGTATGAATTCTAGGTACCGGTAGATATTAAAATAATAACTGGATCATACATTAGTAGATTCACTGACGAGTTGCTAAGTAAATTTAAATCTTCATTGAATATAATCCCTTGATAGAACACCGAATACACCGAGAAACAGTCATTAATAATATATTTTCCTGATAGAATCTCCAATGCCAAATTCCAATGACACATGACATATCAGTTGAAATTAGGTCAATAAACCAGTTTTAAATAGCGTCCACAATTTGTTTGTGGACACTGTACAGGTCACAATTTTTATCCAATTTTGACGCAACTTAAAATATAGGTTTATCTCCAAAAGATCTTGGTTCCTTTCGATATTGGCATTTATTAGATCAAAACTTCATGGATTATGGCCCCTGATTGTACAATAAATCATGTTTTTAGTTGTGGACACTCACAATTCACAATTTTCATCTAGTTTCGATGAAACTTGAAATGCATGTTTATAACCCAACGATCTTGGTTCCTTTTGATATTTGTACATATCGGATCGTATCTTCCAGAATTATGGCCCTTGATTGTACGCAAAATTGCATTTGAAGCTTGTGGTCCCTCTAGAGGAAACAATTTTTATACGCCCACATTTTCAAGTGGACGTATTATGCCGTCGCCCCTGTCCGTCTGTCCATCCGTCCGTCCATAATTGGTTTTTGGACACTCTACAGGTCACAATTTTTATTTGATTTCAACGAAACTTGAAATATAGGTTTATCACTCTAAAATCTCGGTTCCTTTCGATATTGGCATGTATCAGACCGTAACTTCATGGATTATGGCCCCTGATTGTACGAAAAATCACGTTTTTAGCCTGTGGACCCTATAAAGGTAACAATTTTTATCCAATTTTGTTGAAACTTGAAATATAAGTTTATAACCCAAAGATCTCAGTTCCCATCGGTATTCGCGCATATCGGACCATAACTTCCTGAATTATGGCCCCTGATTGTACTGAAATCGCGTTTTTAGCTTCTGGACCCTATAGAAGTCAATTTTTATCCGATTTAAAAAAACGTATTATTATATCACCGTTTAAACCCTAAGGACGGCTGAGTTCGAATTTCATGAAAATCGGCCCAAAACTGACAGACAAAATGGCCGCCATTCGTTCTCAAATAGCCTAAAAATATGGTATATCAAGGTTATGGACCCTATAGAGGTCACAATTT